CGAAAAATACCTGGCTAAAAAATTAAGTCACTCGTGAAAACACCCAACATAATGCCGTAATAAACATAAAATAAAACTGTGTTAACCTGATGCTGAAAAATCAAACATAACCGAAAAAAAAAAAACGTGATTCAATGTTGGTAAACAAAATGTTGTCAATACAATCTCCAACCCTGGAGATATATGAAAATCCCAAACAACCATTGTGAAACAAGAGAAGTAAGATTTGCATAGCTTTTTCTGAAGTAATTCCCGTTAAATAGTGTACGAATGTGGGAGTCATATTTGTGTGTGTGCGTGCGTGTGTATGTCTGTTCGTGTGTGGGGTGTGTGTGTGTGCGCGCGTGTGTAGTATGCCTGTGTGTGTGCGCGCGTGTGAGAGTGGTATTTGTGTGTGTGCGTGCGTGTGTGTGTGAGCGCGCGTGTGTGTGCGCGCGAGAGTGGTATTTGTGTGTGAGTGCGCGTGCATGTGTGCGTATGTGATAGTGGTATTTTTGTGAGTGTGTGTACATGCGTGTGCGCGTATGTAAAGTCAAAAGCGACATGACATACCTCTACGTTAGTCTGTCCCCATGTTGACACCTGAAGTGTCCAGCCTTGACTGTTTCAAAATGCTGCAAACTGGCCCTGCCAGCACACTGTATTATTCATTACTTCAGAAAAAAATCTACTTATTCATGTATTACTCATATATACAGCATGTAACCCTTTATCAGGTCGAGGTAAGCAGCTTGTTTTTTTAACAATAAACAGACTAATTTCTAGCACGTGAAAACTCAGTATCCACCTACACTGCATATTCAAATTGGCAGTATGCCACGCAAGCGTGTTCGTTCATTTGTCGTGTAAAGTGCCTTTCCCAAGGACACAAGATCGGTGGCATGTCAGGACTCGAACCCGGGACCTCTTGATTCCGAGTCGAGCACTCTGCCACTATGCCATACAACCTCACCCTTTTGCCTCTTTGGTGCAAAACAAGCAAAGAAAAACAAAAATGACCCAAACCAACTTGTCCTTTTTTATGAAGTATTGTTTCTTTTTACAAGTAAATAACACTGAAGTAACAATTGTATCGCTTTTCACTAATAAAGTCTTAAAATGGTACATATTCCCCTTCTAAATGCTACCTACAACTATATGCATATGGCTGTTAGAAGAGTAAACAGAATAATGCTTTTTAAAGTAGTTCTGTAAATGTTATTCTACATGTATACAATATACAAATTTCCAGACAACTGAAACAAACTTCCTATTAACATGAGTGTGTTTGTTGTTGGGGATCTGGATGTGTCAGGTATTGTACATAGTCAAGCCAGTCACCACTGTTAGTATGATCTATATACATAACAGTAAGATGTATAGGAGTTACAAATGTATGTAGACATTACAAAGGATGTACAGAATGATGTTTTAAGGGCTGTATTTACAAACATCTTTGGTCTCCTCAGTAGCCTTGTCAACGACTGTAAACTGTACCTAAGTCCCGACATCAGACTCGAGTCTCCCGTACTAATATCTTAGAGACTTGGCAAGAAACAAACAATAATGGATTGAACTGTACAGAGACATGCACTGACTTGGTCTGTCAATTGTGGTTTAGAGTTAATCTACTGGTAGTTTACAACGAAGAACTGTTATAACGTTACATGTATTATATATATATATATTTACAAACATCCACAGTTGAAGGCGGCTGTCTCCTGTCTGACTATGTCATAGTCACAGCCGGCACACACCACATGGTACCAGCACTCACACTGGTCACACTGCACCTGAAGGGGGGGGGGGACAAAAGTATGTTTATTTGAGTAAAGAGACTCTTTTTACACAACCAAGTCTTTAATTCAGTCAATGTTTCGGTGACCGTCTGTCATCTTCCTCAGGGAAATTCTGACTGGCTCACATTGCACTACAGCACAAATGTCTTTGCTACTACAGATACATTCCCAAACATACAATATTTACATATCTTAATATTGTACAGTGTGCTGCAGTGCAATGTAAGTAAGTAAGTAAGAAATAGCTGGGGGAATATCCTCAACAAGCTGTAATAGCTTCTTTTCTACCACAGTACATTCTTTCCTGTCATTAGTTATGTTTTGTAAATTGCTTTAAATTTAAATAGCAAAGTTCTTTGATCCCAACCATTTATTTTTTATGAGCCGACGTTTCGATGGCCGTCTGTCATTTTCATCAGGGCAATTCTGACTGGTTTACTGTGCACTGACGGTAGATGTTACTTGGTGCATAGTGCACTTAAGGTGTTACATAGTTCACAGTGCACTTAAGCTAGTTTTAAATTTACTTTACGCAATGATGCAAATAAAGAAAAATCACATCAAACTGTCACCCTGTGCCTTACCCAGCTGATCATGTCTCCCTCCGGCCTGCTGCAGTCAAAAGAGTCACAGGTTACCCAGTCCTCCTCACCTGACCTGTTAGACTTCACACGTCTCCCTCTCTTAGCAGGGACACCAGGCTTACCTGCAGGGAGGAAAGGACAACTATTCTAATCATAACTACATTTACTTCGTAGTATACTTTAGTAGCATATTGTAGTCCAGCAGTTAGATACCCTGCCTCTGGAATAAGACTTCACCTGTCTTCCTCTCTTAGCAGGGACTGTTGGCTTACCTACAGGGGAGGAAAGGACTAACTACATTCACATATGACATAGTGTACTTTAGAAGCATAGCATAGTCCTGCTGTTAGAGACCCTGCCTCTGGAATGAGAGGTTGGGAGTTTGAATCCCGGTTGTCTCTGCACGGACTTTCCAGAATCCAAAAGCGTGATGACATCAGGAGCAAAGGAGGCAATGTACATCAGAGTCCATCTACCCTCTGAACTGTGACGGTGGTACATCCCATCTTCTGGGCCACATTTGATTCACTACAGAAGTCTTCTACTAGAATCCATGCATCTGAATCCTAGAAGTTAGCACACTACTGTTTACTGTATGTGATGTTCTTTGCAAATTTTATTCTAAATTGCTTATCCCAAAGGACCCAAACATACCTGCATTGGGTCTTCTCTTCCTCTTGTTGTTACTCACAGTCGATGGGGAGTTTTTCAGACCAGACCCTCCTTCCGTAACAATAGGACTTTTGGACATCTGTGCAATGTTTGTCGCCATGGAAACAGTTGTTGCCATGGAAACAGCTCCAGGAGATTCAGAATTACTGTCTTTTGCCAACAAACTCTTGTCCTGTGATGTTGGTGTCTTTAGATCGGCGTGGGAGAAAATGTCGGAGTCAGAGTCACTGTCGGAGGGGATCTGTAACGTCGCCGCGATGCTGAAGATCTCTGAGTCACTGTCATCTGTAATTAGTAAAACATCATTAATTCTGTTAGACTTAGACCTGGATGGACTGTGTGAAGAAAGACATTAGAGAGTGCGGCCTTGCCGGTGTTAACCCACTGGATAGGGCTGCCTGGAGGTGCAGTGTGAAGACCAGTACTACTAGCCGACTGCTGCCGACCCCTGTGGCAGGGACAACGGCAGCAGTATAATCTAATCCTGGATAGTGTGTGTGAGTCTGTGTTTCACAATTTCTGCTTTCAGGGGGTGATTGGGCCTCCTCCACATGCTACATGCATATTGCAGAAAACACTGTTCATTGGGCTGTCTCCCAGAGAGCCCATACATTATCTTACTCAAGAGAACCATTGAATTTTCTATTTCCAGAAGTACCAATTGTAGCTCAGTCAGCATTCTTTATAACTATGAAATTCTGTCTAAAAGGAGCTCTGGATTCCATGTCACAATGGAAACCAGTCATTGCAGCCTCCAATATCATGGTAGCAGACAGTTCTCAACCTGACAATAATAATTATGTTAGCAATGTTCGCAAATCAACAAAATCCCTATACAGTACTACAGTACTAAGTATTAAGACCTACCATCTAAACTGAGCTGACTTTGCCCTGTAGAACTGCTACTTGCTGTGCTAGTCTTCTGCCCTCCCTTCTCGGCGTCTGTGTTGACAAGTTTGGACTTCTGCACCCTGAAAAGGTACAAGAACACTACTACTACGTACATATACATGTAGCACATGTGCAGCAAAACTTCAGTTACTAGTAGATAAGCTTGTGGGGAGACCATAATTATTGACCTCAAATTCCTGTCATAATGCAGTTTAGCCTGGGTGCCATCCGATTTGTAAAGGCAACTCCGAAAAAATCGAATGGCACCCAGGTTAAATGCAGTTACACAATTTCCTCCTTTTACATCCCCTGACTCCACTGTATTCAAATAACTATGTACATACAAGCAACAAACAGACAACACTTCCAAGCGCAGAGGTAAAGAAAGTACATGTACTAGTAGTAGTAGAATGACGTAGTAGAATTCCCTACCAGTTAGATATGTCCTGAAGCACATCAGGACTTGGTACAGAGGGGAAGAGTTGTCTGCCGTTCCCCCTCCCTGCATCTCCTGGTGCCGTCAGGTGGGACAATGTGGGCGTCTCTGAGTCAGTTCTGGTGTCCACATCACCTGGTCTCACACACTTCTCAAACTAATATAAAAAATATACATTGTACATTAGTCCTAGGAAAAAATGTAATCTTCTAAATAAATAATCAATCTTATAGCTTCAACAACAAAGCAAGCAGTTTTTTATATGACACACCCTATCGAGATCACAGCTACTTCACCAAAACATGTTACTCAAGCAACTGGGTATGATTTCGGAAACATTTCAGGTAGCATTTGTCAGTGACACTGGAGACTTGCAGGAGAAAGGCATTTCCAAATGATATCCAGTTGCTTGAGTAACTGTTTTTGGCGTATCTTATTTCCTGGATGTCTAACCTTCACCGACACAGCTACTTCAGTTCATGTAAAAAAATCTGCCAACTGACCCTGAACTTGAACTCTGACCCAGCCTGTACTGCCAGCTGCCCAGGTTGGACGGTGCCGGCCTTCAGGTGACCGAACGTGACGGTGTCGCCTTCCTGTAGTCTGTGGGGGGTCTGAGGCTTCAGCTGGGGAGGGGGGCAAACAAGGGGTGTCTTCTTGTGTATAACAGTGTCCTTTATATATAGTTTTAACTTCTCAAAATCTTAATTTTGTCCCATAGAATCCTTGAAAATGATATAACAGCAAAAAATTTTTACCAGGGATTGTCCTATACTACATATAAAGTTATATTATATCAAATCCACTGGTACTTGAATAGATACAGATGACAGATACTAAATTTAAGCTTAGCCTCTACCAGCCTTCAGAACAGGCTGGAAAGAGTAGAAATTGGGAGTACATTTAAAACAGGCTTCGGGTGCAGCAAATGTTCTCCTTTAGCATTATCGGTCTATTTACTATTTAGTACTCTTACCAGTCACTTCCAAAGCCTGGACTAAACATTTATATGTGTATTGCTATCATGACTTGTCTTTGTGGGTCACAGATAACTTAATCAATAAAGAAATTTAAATCCGTTAATGTGGATATCATAATGAGAAATCAGTGATATCCTTACCCTGATATCATTAACATAGGTTCCGTTGACACTCCTGTCTGTTATGTCACACATCACGTTCCCCTGGCTGTCCTGTGATACGTGAATCTCAGCATGTCTGCTCTTTCCATACAATTCATTATGACTTGTCTTTGTGGGTTAATTAATATGCAGATAAAGAATGATATTAATATTATTATAATAAAATTTTGAAAAACTGATATCCTTACCCTGATATCGTTAACATAAGTCCCGTTGACACTCCTGTCTGTTATATGATATGCCACGTTCCCCTGCCCGTCCTGTTGTACGTGAATCTCTGCATGTCTGCGTGAGATGAGAGCAGGGTGGGACTGGGAGTCGATAAAGACGTCACACTGGGCAGGGTTCCTCCCGATCTGGAGGGTTTGGGGGGTTGATGCAAGTCTGGAGAGGTAAAGCAAGTTATCTGTCATCAAACAGTCAAACACCTTGTCTTCTTCAAAGGTTCTTTTTGAATACCATCAAAACATTTTTCTTTAATGTTTATGAGTTAAAACACTGATCAAAGCTGCTTGAGCAATGAAATGGGTTGCTCAAAAATTATCCTTATGTGTGTGTGTGTGGGGAGGGGGAGGGGTGAAATTATAACCTTGAAAATCCCAGACATTTCAAGCATACCGATGTCTGAAAAACTTACTGTATGTCCTTGGGAAAACGAAGTGTGCATACTAATCATGTACACTCGCTCACCAAGATATCCAAAACAAGTCCTGGGGGTACAAATATATAAACTGTAGTTCCCAAAATTCTAACTATTTCTAAACATACCCATGGTATTATATACCGAAGAACAAACTGTGCAAAACCATCCATAATATCACAAATTACTGGCATGAGCTACATGATTTGTAAAAACCGTCTCTGAGACTTGCTGCGACCAAGACCTGAGACTTAACGTTAGCCTCCTGTGCAGGCCTCAGGGAGGGTGGGAGTTTTCATACTGCGTTTTGTAGCATATTCTGAACGGGTTCTTTTGCCGGCCATCCTCCAAGCAGCCGCCCTGAGAAGGTTTGTACCTGCAAATTCTACAAAACGCAGTATCAAAACTCCCACCCGCCCGGAGCCCTGCACAGCTGCACGACAGGCTTCGGGAGGCGGCTGGAAAGAGTAGAAATCGGCCAAATAGAGACATAGCATGCCTTGAGGGAGTTTGTCCGATTTCTACTCTTCCAGCCGCCTACCGAAGCCTGGTAGAGGCTACTGCCCTACTGCACAGAAGGCGAAGACTGACCTAAACACGTCCTGCACATCCGGCCGGCTTGCCGCCTTCCCCACCCGTCTGAGGCGGTAAACTTCACCTTCTGCAGCTTCCATGGTTTATAAACAAGTAAACTACCGACAAACACCGAAACTTTTCTGGCTCTGGCGATAGAAACTGCAGTGTTTTTAAGAAGCTACGTCCACAGATGCTTTGAAAAATGGCGCGTCGGGCTTGCATAAATTTAATACGACCTTTGACCTTGCTTGGAACACTCTAATTTTTATTTACTAGGTAATTAACGTTATATTTATGACATATACCAATGTAAACACTGATAGTATATTTTATACTTACAAGTAAAATTTGAGATAAAAAATTACAGTATTTGAGGATATGTTTTGGGGGGATGATGAGGGAAAGGAGACTTAAGAAACCCCCCTTTTTTGAGGGATTGACTAGTCCATACTGAGTGATAGACTGTTCCACTTATTCATATGATATGTTTTCTCTACTTGTTAAAAACCTAAAATGTCTCAATTCTTTAAAAAATTTTCTTAATGTTTATAGTTAATATATTCAACACAAATTTTTTACTACAAGTTTAGAACAGTTTAGGACGAAATAAAACCAGACAGACATTACTTCAAAGCTACACATTTCCTCCCTTTTCTGATGTGGACTAGTCCAGATTGCAAATGGCTACGACAGAAGTCGAAATCGAACCTCAGAACCAGGAAAGTTGCAAACCTCGCGCAGAAATGGCTTCAGACGACCCTGAACTCTGTATTCTGGGGGAGAAGGTTGACCACAAGCGCTGTCGGTACCCGTATGCCGTCGTTTGGACGCCCATACCGCTACTCACGTGAGTTTTAAGATAAGTTTTGGGAGTGATGGTGTGAGCTTTTTTTTTTTGACAGATGAATTTTTGCAACAAAAATATAGTCGGTTGGATGCTAGGCTCAAGGAGCTTTGATTTCAGATTAAGCTCCTTTCAGCATATTTAAGAGGGAGGTAGAAGGTTTTAGTTTATGATACATAACTAGGAAGTAAGGCATATAACCTTATAATCTATCTATTCATAGCCTCCTTGATATAACAAACATAGCTCAACAGGCAAATTATATCCTTATATTAAGCATATAACCTTTACAACCTATCTATAACCTCCTTAATGTAACAAACATAGGAAATTAATATATACATGTATCTGCCTTTTGTCATGTAACAGATACCTGTATTTCAATCTCCAATTTCATTTAGACAAACGAAAAACTTACTAGGCAAATTATATCCTTATATTAAGCATATAACCTTTACAACCTATCTATAACCTCCTTAATGTAACAAACATAGGAAATTAATATATACATGTATCTGCCTTTTGTCATGTAACAGATACCTGTATTTCAATCTCCAATTTCATTTAGACAAACGAAAAACTTACTAGTAAAGTGTCATTTGATGATCTTTCATCATCTTACCCTGTAACCCCAGGTGGCTGTTCCCCTTTATCGGCCACATGGGCATCGCCATGTCATCTGGGGTCATCCGAGACTTCGCAGGGCCATACTACGTGTCCGTAAGTAACACGTTTTACTTTTCATCTGCTACCATGCATCAATATAATAATGTTGTAAAAAATTAGATGCTAGTACAAGACCTGAGTACAAGTAATACAATATTTCCATCTTTTCCCCCATGCAGGAGGATCACATGGCATTTGGAAGACCGACAAAGTAAGTTCTAGAATCTTTTACATACATGATGTACATGTACCAAGTTTGTTTTAGATTGTGATTTTTTCCATATCAAATGTGCCATATCGAAACTACTGTTCGAATACTAGTATGTGCAAACTTACCAGTGGTTTTTCATAGAGGTTCTACTATAAGCCGGCTAGCCATAGTATGACTACCATTATGTGGCAATCTAACAATATCTTACTTGCACAGATACTGGACAATGAGCCCTTCTAAAGCGAAGGGTGGTACGAAGGGCTGGGACTCTGCAGTGGGAGATGCTTCAGAGGAGTACAAACATCACATGGTCAGTACTGATGCTTCAGTGATGACATGTACCACCTGTATTTCCACTCTCTGTACAGCTCAGATAGTTATAGTACTTCCAACATGTCTCACGTCTTATACAATGAACAAAGATCACAGGATTCACAGCTATGCAGCACATGTATGTTATATTGTACATACACAACTTTGTTATTGTATGAGCCATTATGGTTTACCTATTTATGTTTACCTTTGCGGAAGGATTTAGTTTTGCTCAGTTTCTTCTTCCTCTCCAAACAAATAAGGACAATGACCTGGACCAGACGTCTGTCACCATGGCAACTAATACTGTAGTAGTGTTGGGTTACATTTTGTAGCAGGACAGAGTTGGAGGGGCTGTTCACCATATTATGTGAATGTGTTTGAGTAAGAGTAAACAGAGCAGTAATTTGTTAGGACAGATCATGTGAAGGTAAACAGCATGTATCTGCTCTGATACTGTTACCCTTCTTTCTATTTATTTATTTGTTTGTTTGTTTTCACCGTTTCTTCAGCACAACCTGTTCTGTGATAACTGCCACTCTCACGTCGCTCTGGCCCTCAACACAATGCAGTATGACAGGAGTACCTCCTGGAACATGGTCAAACTCTGCTTCCTCATGCTTATCTATGGGAAATATGTCAGGTACAAACTCTGCTTCCTCATGCTTGTCTATGGGAAATATGTCAGGTAACTAACTATTAACTATTCAAACCTTAGATCTCCATGCCTGTTCTGGCATGTAGCTTCCATGTCCTGGTATCAACAGCTACATCTTTTGCTTCAAGCTAATGTATTTTTTTGCCCATTTTGTGCTTTTTTTCATTCTTCTGCATATCACAAGTAAGTTAAAGGGAAATTTTCTGTCATTATTAAGTGACCCAAATCCTATCAAAAGCAAATCATTAAAGTATACACCAAATTGCATCGGTGATAGGTTTCAGGTCCTTCTCATCATTTCTTTAACATCTTTGTTCTTTCTTGCAGTGTCTGCGCCTTCCTGAAGACATGGCTGCCGTTCCTTATCCTGGGGGGAGGCGTCGTGGCTCTCGCACTGCTCCTGTGAAAAAAAATCACTGTCCATTTAAGCAATACCAGTTTTAAACTGTTCTTGGACTTAAGAAGAATGCTAAACAAGAGGATCTACATTAAAACTGTGGCCGAGGGGAAAGTCTGTAGTACTCTCTACCTTGGTACACAAAGTTTTCTTCAGTCATAGCCCTCAGTTGCATATAATCCTTCGCTAGATTTTTACTAAAAATGTTTAAGAGCCAAGCTGGCAATGGTGTGACTGTATACTGTAGAATCTGGAAAGTCTCATATTATATATAGAGAGAGTTTATGATAGAAACAGAGATATAAAAAGGTACAAGGATGCCTGCTATTACAATGTAGAATATATGAGAAAGTAAAGTGTACATCCTCTAAGAAATCCAAATCTACTGTCTTCAAATAAGATAACCTTTGAAATAACAGGAAAATGAAGTTGCTGGTGTTTTTGTGTACATTGTGGAAGAATAAAATGTATATACATGCATGTTTCTTTTGTGACTTTTGTGAAATAAATATTGTACAATTCCTAACAATATGAAATGAATTAAGTCTGTAAATCTACATATAAAAATAATATTGCACTTAATCTCTGCAGTTTATAATTTACCCAAGATTTTTTATTAAAGGAGGCAGGTTGTTTGAGATTCTGTCATTTGTATAGAAATGTGGGTAAGAGTGAAGCCACTTTGTGTACTTAATATTGTATTAAAATGCTCTCTAATACACGAATGTCTGTCAATCCTTTTATTTCATTAAAAAAGACTGTAACAATGCAATATTTGTGGAGCACATGTAGCCTCTACCAGGCTTGAGGGCACGGCTGGAATGATAGTAGAAATCGGCCCGAAATAGAGAGATAACACGCCGAGGGAGTTTAGCCATCC